TCTAACTCTCACCACACTGTACTATTATCTACTTTCCCTTATACCAAATCTACATTCCATTCCATCCATAAACCAAATACCACCCAACTATGAAAACAATTTCATGACCCAGGGATCCACTTCATACAAGGTTTGGGCCAAATAGCTAAAACTACTACCCCAAATCAATTAATGCCTCCTAAAATTTACTCATCACCATAGTTATATACAGGTGTAGTCATATGAAATATAGTAGGACACATGGAACATCAGTATTGACAGTTATGGACTCTGTGTACAAACTAGACACGTCAAAATGTTACTGCAATTGCAAAATCAACATGTATGAACATGAAATTCCAAAACAATTAATGAAGGCCAATCAAATACCAATTTCAGACAAAACCCACACAGAGTAACAAAATCACCATCAACAGTCAATCTAGGAAATGAAACCAATCAAAACAAAACAAATCTTATACAAACCCACACACATTTACAAAAGTACACCATAAAACAAGACAAGTTTTTAGACGTCGGCAATGGAGTTCACCTTCGTGGAGATGGCTTTCGCGACAGAGAGAGCAAGGGAGTGCTGTTGCTCGTCGACCGTCGACGGAGAGATAAACCGCTCACAGCGGAAGAGAGAACTCTGAGAGAGGGCTAAGACAGAGAGAGAAGTCTGAAATGTTAGGTTACCCATCAATCGCCAATAATTCCACAATAGATATGTTTTTATATGAAGGGTACTAAGGTAATTTCAAGTTCCCAAGTGATTATATCAAAATAAGATTTTTAAAGTGATCATTTGAGAATACAAGTTTTGAAAAGTGATTATATCAGCATATTTCCCTAGAAGCTTTCACCAAATTAAAGATCATCAGCCCTTTTAAATTATTGGGGTACATGGACGGTTGCTTGTGGAAAATGATCGAGCATAAGCTCGAGATGGTTGAATAAAACTTTTTGAATTTCATGGTGTAAAAGGAATTTGATGTGTTGACTTGGAACAAAACCCCGCAAATATTCAATGAATCACACTTTTTTTAATTGTCATTATTAAAGCAATTTGTTGTTACATATAGCTCATCACTGTGCTAGTAAAATTGGAGAAAATTCTACCTCCAACTATCTGCGTTGAGCTTTTACAGTCGGCTACCAAACACAAAACAAGCTTAGAGGTGTATTTTAATCACTTCCATATAAGAAAAATAGGATAAAAACAGAGGAAAACATGGGAAAAGAGCTTGCATTACATGCCTGTGGTTTTCGTTCTCTGGAATATGCAACTTGATCAAAAGAACCCCCCTCCCCCAATTTTTTTCATTTCAGCCGGTGGCTTCCAAGAGCCACCGCCGCCACCACGGGCCACGGTTGGCCACGGGATCGGACCCAAAGTGACCGCCACCTCTCCGTCTTCCTTTCCTGACTGATCTCAGCCCCGTTCCGCCACTGGTATCGCCGGAAAACATCAACAAACAGCCGGATTTTGCGTGATTTTTCGGGAGCTCGTTCGGACTCCTCCGGCCACCAAATCTTGCGATCCAGGTATGCTTTCTCATCTTCTCGAGGTTTTCTATCTTCTGGTTGTGTTATTTAGGATCGATTTCTGCGTTTAAGTTGTCAAATAAGCTATGGAAGTTGAGCCGGTTTTCGGCCTCCGATTCCGGCCACTTCCGGTGACTTTTTGGGGTAGGTCCAAGAACAAAAGTTTCTCCACTCTAGGTGCTGATCATGTAGGTATACGTATTGTCTGGCGGTTTGGAGATTTTCCGATCACCGGAATCGCTTTGGGCATCCACGCGCTTCCGGCGCGTGTGGTAGCGCGTGGCCCACTATTTGGCTGGTCTTAGGCTCCTAAAATACTCCTCATATCGTCCTGAGCACGACGGTATGCTCGGATATAAATTTGGAGATCATTTGATCATCGATCAGATATTTCATATTAGGCATTGTCCGGGTTCGATATGTTTGGACTGTTGGATCGACTCCAATTTAATATATGTTGATCTAGGCATTCTTAGGATCGTGTAGGAATTCGCGGATCATGAATCGGAGTCCCGGATGTTCCGATTCAACAACTTAAAGTTTGTGTTTTACGATAACCATCTGATCGTGCGATTGTGAGCGATCCGACCGTCCAATCCGGACCAAACTTGCAGGACGTGTATCCTAAACCTTGTGGAACCCATACGAACTTTCGGATCGGAAATCGGAGGTCGTGGGCCCTGGGGGCCCAATTGACCAAGTTTGGATAGTTAGACCACTTGGTTGACCGTGAGTCTTCTGATGTAGATTTACCCTTTGAGAGGTACTAGAACGACCATGTAAGTGAGTCTTGACCATAATTTGAGTTGTTCTAATTATGTTAGGATTAGGAGTTTGTTTTATAGTATCTTATCGAAATTCTTGGATTTTGTTATTTACAATTGAAGTTATGGAATGGGCGAGCTTGGGATATTGGATTAGTGGGTTGTGAAAGTGAGCTTTGGACTCGGCTATAATTATTAGTAGTTAATTGGTTGTAGTTTTAAAACGTGAATTATTTTCAATAATTAAATGAATATGCATGGAATATAGTTTGAATGAAAATTTGGGAAATTTAAATATATTTGTACTAGTTTTATTTAATTGTGAATTTGATTTATCTTGAGATTTGAGAGCTTGATTTGCTTTGGCGATAAGTTCATGTTGGGTTGTTCAAATTATTTGTGATGAGGTTTGGATGAATTATGGTGAATTGGGTTAATAAATAATGTTGATTATTTTGGAAGTTATATAGTTACACTATGTTAAGTACCATCCCTCAGATACTAGACTTCCCACACGTGGCGTTGGAAATTTTCCGGCGTGGGAAGAATATGTGATTATCAGGTCTCACACGTGGCGTTGGAATATTCCAGCGTGTGAGACACTTCCCATACGTGGTGTTGAAAATTTTCCGGCATATGGGAAGAATATGTGATTATCAGGTCTCACACGTGGTGTTGGAATATTCCGGCGTGTGAGACACTTCCCATACCTGGCTTTGGAAATTTTCCGGCGTATGGGAAGAATATGTGATTATCAGGTTTCACACGTGACGTTGGAATATTCCGGCGTGTGAGACACTTCCAATACGTGGCGTTGGAAATTTTCCGGCATATGGGAGGAATATGTGATTATTGGACCCACACGTGGCGTTGGATGATTCCGGTGTGTGGGCATATATGGTTACCTTACCACACGTGGTGTTGGATTTTCCGGTGTGTGGTAAAAGATCCATGTACTTGGGTTATCGTTATTTTATTATGTGTGGCGTTGGATCTTCCGGCGTATGGTAAAATAACAGGGAGATGAAAAAAGGGAATTATTTTACCATGTCAGGGATAGATTAATGTTTAAAAGAATTATGTTTGGTGCGTTGTGGTTTAAAGTAAAGGAGAAAAATAATTCTAGGAATAACTTATTTGTACTATTGGAAATGGTTGTGTACCATCTGGTTCGTGATTATGGATGAAAGAACTATGTGTGGCTTGATCCCTCAGTAAGGTTACGTAGGAGGGTACGTAGGTAGCTTGGGGTCCCACCCAGGTGCAGTCGCAAACTAAAGATAATTCTAGAACTTTAATTTAGTCGTTTGGATCTAGTCTCACTTCTTCTGGTTTTTGGATGAGTTTGGTGTTGACCTTGTCTGTGGTTTTAAGACGTGATTGAATAAATATTCATTTTTCTGTTGAACTATGTGAGTGTTGATTAATTGTGGTTGTGGTCAAGTTAGGGTTGAAACCCGTTTTGGATTGTTATACGAATTAGGCCGAATCCTTAATCTACTTGCGATTATGTTTGTTTGTTAACTATCGCATGATGGACTTTGGGAAGTTGTTTAGTGTTACTTATGGTGGGTATGCGTAAATTAGTTTGAGTTCATTAAATACATGGTTTAATTTCATTATTTGACTTAAGAGCTTTGTTGGTGGTTTCTGCTTCGAATTATTTGAAGGCTGGAGGTGTTACATCACGGGATCGGTTCCACCGTAGCACGATATTGTCCGCTTCGGACCCCCCTCTCTGTCCTTACGGTTTTGTTTATGAGAGCTCATGAGCAACTTCTCAGTGGGTCACCCATCCTGGGATTGCTCTAGTCCTAACTCGCTTAACTTTGGAGTTCTCATGACTTCGAAACTAGTGAGCTCCCAAAAGACCTCGTGCTAGATGGAGGCGAGCATGCACATATAAGGCACATCAACCCCTCTCCATTGGTTGATGTGGGATGTTACAGGAGGCTTATATGTAAACTGTATGATTTATCTGATGCATGCTGCCAGCTGTGGATAAATTGTGTTTGTTTAACAGGTTGGAAAATTTGGTAATGCCCGTTTTACATGGGAGATTTTGCCGAAATTTCGGCAGAAAGTCTTTTGCCCATTTTCCTTAATTTGGAAAAGAGGCTATAGTAATTAAAGTGGGTCTGACATCGGTGTGATGTTGAAAGTTCCACAGGATTCGTCTCGGGTTCCGAGGAATTCGGGGCTGGTCTTGTGATATAGGGTTCGTTGAGAAAGTGAGATGAGTCTAGCACACTGCTTATACCGTACGTAGTGTTAATATGGACAAACTTGCTTGCAAACTTGTGGTTTTCTCTTTGGGCTGTGGAACTGGATCTAAAATCTAAATAATTAAGAATGGACTAAAAAAATAAATTAAAATAATTGAACTTACGTCTGGTTCAGTCTTTTGTCTTATACAAACCCAAGGCCATGCTGTGCGTCTACATTCAACTCATGTAGATTGTATGCTTTACATGATGGATTAGATTAGTACTAGAATTTGATCCTTTAAATGATGTGATAAAGGAAGTTTGCCTTGGTGTTACAGACAGAGCATGGAAAATATGTTGTTTTGCGTCTTGGTATGTTTCTGGATACATTAATTCTTGATAGTTTGAGGACTTTGATATACATGAAGGCTTCTCTAACTACATGCATTAGCAGCCTATTCCAACGTAACAATTCAACACTCAAACATTGGAGAGAACGAAATTAAGTAGAACCCCCCAACAGCATGCTTTATTATGAGTACAAGTTGAAGTCTATATAGTTACAAGAGAAAACATGATCGGGTTAATTTCAAGCAGTTTCTGTAATCTGTGTTTTTTAGACAACCCGACCACTAATCCCAAAAACTTCATCTCATCATATATCTTACACCACATGATGAAGAGGCAGAAATAAGTAGGGAGATAATTATACAGGGGTGCAACCCGACCAAGCTTATTATATGTACAGTGCTAAGTGATGATCATGCAGATTATTTGTGGTTCGGAACAAAGGCAATAGCATCAGTGGAAATGAAATGGCAGATGGGAATGGTTCCGGGCTTAACGTTGAGGATTTGGAAGGACAAATGCTTTGGGTTCCATTCTGATGTGTCTAGATGGCAGATAGTTACTGCTTTAACCTTCTCCCCATCATCGCCTTTCAGGGAGAGAACATAAGCTGCTGTTTGTTTTATTGCATGGCAGTAAAACACAGCATAGGGATAGTTCTCCTTATGACACACAACGACTTTGTCACCTGCCAACTTCTTCAGTCCCGGCATTGTTGTATAGTTGTGCATGGACATGGTGGCTCCTTTTTCCAATATCTCCGTCGAGATTGCTTCAACGTTTGTTGTTCCAAGCTTCGAAGTGCTAAAATCAACCATTGATTCTAAAGATGTGGCGCAATATTTTTCCTCTCCCATAAGGCCTGGAGCTTCACACTCTTCGATTGTTTCCTTAATTGTTTTGGCTTCCACAGATGTTGGCTTCACTGAAAAATGGTTGAAAATTTCTGGTAGTTTGTTAGAGGAGAAGGGGATCGATTGAGCGCTTTCTCGTGGCAGGAAAGTAGCCGTGTTTGAATTTCTAAGGAATTGGTAGTTCAGTGTTGTGCCAGGGCGCATGTCCTTCTCCAAGAAGAAAATAGCTATGTTTTTATAATGGAGTAGATTGTCAGATGGAGAAGCACCTTTTCCATAGTGTTTTTGAATGTAACGTTTATTGCCCAATGGGAAAATTTCAGGTTCGCCCCTTCCATAGTGTTTTTGAACGTAATGTTTATTGCCCAATGGGAAAATTTCAGGTTTGCCAACAGCATTCACCATATTTGTGCTCTTTTCTTCATTTTTGGAGTCTGCAAATTATATATCAACGTCATTTGTGAGTGACACATTTGTGAATATGTTGCCGTACGTAGTTAACTGATAAATATATTCGTCGAACAAATTTTAGTAAAATGGCAGGTAGAAGAGATATCTAAGATTCTAAAGTGCTCAACACAAACCAGGATGCAGAAGTTCACTGATAGATCTTGGCATCTGTGTGTTTGGCAGGACGGAGTTCCAGTAAAGTTGAGGTGCTGGTTGAGCAGCATGGTTTGCCAGTGCGACCGCTGCTAGCTGCAACATTAATTCGAACTCTAATTAAAATCAAATCTCACAAAGTGTAATTAATTAGTGGACGACACTTAAGTACGTACTAAATAAAATCGGAGAGAAGTATAGGAACACAAAACTTTCATTTGTATATATAGAGTCCAATGAGAGAGAATGGAAAAGTTAATCAAATTGCAGAGCTTACACTGAGAATAGCAAAGATGAGTGGGAGATGAAACCCCATTAGGACTGAAATTAACTTGGCAACAGATGTGGCTAGTGGATATGAAGCAAGAAATTAAAGAAAGTCGGAGCTGGCTCTTATGGTAACAATAGCAACTGGCTTCACCATTTTATAGACGAATGATGAGGGGTACCCAGAAGTAACACTCCACCCACCAATACTTCCCACTGCCTCACTCACTTAAATTCATTTGAGGTAAGTGGCATGATGTGATGTATCAGACATAATTCTGAATCAAATCTTCAAAAGGTGCCGAAGGTTTTTTGAGATAAAATCTTCAAAAGATCATAATGGACGTAAGAGGTTAAATTTGAAAATAATAGTACACAATAGGTTTTCAATCGAGAGGGGGTGGAGAGCCCACTGGGAGCAATAATTTTAGGTCGCCATGTCATCTAAGACTTGAAAACAAAAAAAATATGTCCATATATAATTAAAGGGTACGATTTCTGCTTTATTAATTTTACTTGATTTTCCGTGGTTCAGAAAATTCCTAGAAAACAAAAGATCTTATAAATCCAGCTAACCATGTTTCAGCCCTAGTCAATGACTTGGAGCACAAAAAATCTACTTCACACTTTGTAAGAGGGCATGCAAGTGCATGGAGGATGGAGCAATAATATTTATTTTATAATATATATGATAATAGATTTATTTTTATTTTATTTTTTCAATATATATATAAAACAAAAAAAAATATGATTGAAGATTTACACAATAGGTTTTCAATCGAGAGGGGGTGGGGAGCCCACTAGGAACAATAATTTTAGGAGGACATGTTATGAAAACAAAAAAAAATATGTCCCTATATATTTAGAGGGTACAATTATTGGCATGAGCAATCCTACAATGCATCCTCTAGATATTTTCCCTTTCCATTATGCTTTATTAATTTTACTTGATTTTCCTTTGTTCAGAAAATTCCCAGAAAACAAAAGATTTTATAAATCCAGCTAACCATGTTTCAGCTCCAGTCATGACTTGGAGCACACAAAATTTACTTCACACTTTGTAAGAGGGCATGCAAGTGCATGGAGGATGGAGCAATAATCTTTATTTTATAATATATATGATAATAGATTGATTTTTATTTTATTTTTTCACTCCATATATATATTAAAATTGGAAAGCCTCCTGGCCTACACATATTGGTCTTGTGGTGTAGGCACTAGCGGATCTGTTAAGGAGCAAAGAAGTGCAGCTGCACCTCTCCTCGCCAGAAAAACTATTGTTGGTGCTTGAAATTGCCCCTTTGCTCCTTAATTCCATCTTACATTACTCCATTTACTTAAGTTTACAATGTAAATAAGGAAGTACCCTCCATTTGGATTCAAATAAAAATACTAGAAAATCAAATTCCCCCAAATTAAAATTTGAAAAATCGGTTTTAGTGCAAAATACGATTTAGGCTAAAAATGATAGCTCATTAAGTCAATATATACTTCATAATAAAATCCAATAAAATCAAGTTTTCTTATTTGATGTGTAAGGAATAAAAGCCGCCAAAAATTATCTTGAGAAAATGATTATTCTGAAAAACCATTTTTCATACTTAGTCAATATTTTTACATAGAACAATTTTTCATGTATGATATGAATGAATAAAGGGACCTAAGGTCAATCTAGGTAAAAAGCCTTAGATGTTCAATCCACAAAGAGTTTTTAACATTTCAAAATTGCACCTCCACTAAAAAATTCTTGGGTCCGCCAGTGGGTGTAGGTGGTGTTTGTGCCTAATAAATCACGGTCGTCAGAAGGAACCTCTTCTCGGCCGTGGCACCTATTCATGGACTGAAACGGCCACGTTTCGTCAGACATTTAGCCTTTTCGAAAGCAGAAGAAAATACAAAGGCAGGATCTTCTCGGCCTCACAACCACGGCATTATGGGTCGAGGCCGAGGTCCATGAAAGACCCGGCCGAAGATACTGTGGTCAAATCGCCACGTGGCCTCAGGGCCCCACACCCCGTTTCATGAAGAAGTGCCTCTGACCGCCCCAGAAAAACCACTGCGCCTTACAGCTTGAGGTCAGGTCACCAACCACTGGACCAGAGCATTAAATGTGTTCCCACGGCCAAGGGGGCAGAGCCCACGATCAGGGCGGTGGCCGAGATTTGTCGAGATTTATGGGGGTCACACCACCATGCTTCTCAACCCAGACCACCATGCTTCACGATCCCAAATGCCGATTTGACTACCCACTTGCCCCGATCAGACTCCATCATGCAGATATTTTTAAGCCATCAGGCAGATCTTTTTTCAGCCTCGATTAGCCCTCCAGGACTCCTCCTATAAATACTAAGCTCAAGACCACGTTCAAGGGGTTCAAACACCAAACCAAAAGCCTCCCATGGAGCAACTTATATTTTCTGCAATGCACTTTCAATACCTTTACATGCTTTCCTAGGAGTAGTGGTAGATTGTAAGGAAAATCTATTCATCAATATATCATACGACCCTTGATTTTTCAAGGCACCGGAGCATCATCCTTGTTACCGCCTCATTCACCCCATATATCATACGACCGTCGCTCTCTGAGCAACGCGCCGGAGCACAGCCCAAAATCCACCAACACCACCACTAAACGGCCTTGTAGCTCAGGCCGTGAACCTGACGGCCGAGATAAGTTCCTCTCTCGGCCACAATCGTTTGACTAGAAGTCTAACTCCAAACAGGCGCATCATTTGAACATCTTTTACCCAAACCCCATCACCATATCAACGCACAGTAGACCGTGCTGGCACGCCCGCGAACAACCGCACCGCATCCAAAAGAAGGACGTCGCGTGTTGACGCACATCCCCTTGGCCCGGAGCACCAGGCCGCGAGATTTGCGACGGACCAACAGGTGGTGGCTAAGGTGATAAGTATTCCGCAGCCTCCCCTTCCTTGTTAGATTACAAAAGCTTGCAGACGTCAGTTTGTTGTGGATTGATGGTAACATATGCATTACTCCATTTTCTGTCTTCTTCATTGTCTCCCAATTGTGATGAACAACCCAAGATGTCTGCCAGATGTGGATATGGTTTGTCTTGAAAGAAACCCAAATAAAGAATCTTCAAATTAAGGTATATAAGATGATCTACAATCATGCTCCCTATTTTTTAGTTAAAATTTAGCTAAAAATACAAAAAAGCTATTTTAGGAGCTTTTTATAAAATTTGAACTCTAATCATACTCCCTAGTTTAGAGAGTCATAAGTACTTTAATTATGTTTTAATTCAATATAATTGGTCCATATGTATACAAAATAATATAAAAAAATAATTTGATTTAATTAAAAGTTTAAAATATGCATAAAACAAAGCAACATTAAATTATAGGGAGTTACTAAGAGTCCTTTCTCTCTCCTCATATTTAGGAGCTCCTAGAGGTCTCCCTATTTTAAGAGGTGGATAGGGAGCGTGGTTGGAGTTGTACTTTTCCAATTTGTCTAAGGAGATGGTTTATGGAGCTCATTGTGGATGCTACTTAACCAATTAAAGAAACCCAAAAATCTTCAGTACGACGTAACATATAGGAAGTTTGTAAAGTATAACACTTTGTAGATATAGGAACATATAGGAAGTTTCTACTAAAATTATGATGAATCTCAGCACCGCAAAGAAATTAATTTTTGTAGAAATTGGTAATTTTCATAGGCACAAGCAATCACTCTTTTTTTTTTCTTTTTTTTTCCGATAAGACTAGTCTAGAGCATTATCAAATACATTTAGTCCATTACCAAAGGTATAGCTATTGTCCCCTTTTGATTTTTTACTTTTTTAGAGTTATTACCCGTATAAAGAATTTAGCATTTTCCCATTTAATAGCCAGAGATTGAAGATTTATTACCAGAGAAGCTGATGGTCTCAAAAGTTGATTTCAGAAAGGATCTCACTAGCCTCAAGGTCGGTTCTCAAAATCGAAACTTCTGCAACACATAGTAGGAAGTTAGGGCATCAAGCTTTTTGGGAATCACACCTTAGAATCGAAATTCAAAGAGAAATCAAAACTAACAGATCCCATTTTGACTTATATCTCCATTTTGATTGATGCCAAAAGAATGTTTCAATGAACTAGATCTAACTTCCTACATAAACAATGAAAACAAAATCCCGAACCATATAGTGATCAAAGCAACTAAAACCCTTTTCTTATCTTCTATATTCAAATCTAAAAACAGCCTGTAATGAGCATAAAGTTTTCTTACCCAACAAAAACATTATTGAATTTCTGAAAGCATACAAGAGTAATGCAATAATATTTTCATCAAGTAAACCCAAAACACAAAATATATCCAAAACAAAATCATAGTTAGGAAAATTGATATCACAGTGGAACTCAAAATCACAATGAATAGAGAATAGAGAATTAGAATCATAGTCACAATCGCACTCAAATCAAACCCAAATGAAATTAAAACTTACATTGAAACCAAAGAGAAATAGAAAGCTCACATGATATTAGGAGAAAACCTAGAAATCGAAACCACAGAGACGAAAAGGACGACAAAGAGGACACTCGCTCGACGAAGAAGATGGTCTCGCTCGCCCTAGTCCCTCACTCTTGTCTCGCTCGCACTGGTCTCGTTCGGATTTTGCTCGTCTCGTTTTGTCTTTTTTGTTTTCCTTTTGATGTGGTACCCGAGCGCATTTTGAAAAATAAAAATAAAAAAGTTTAAAAAAAGTTAATTGGTCACTGATGTATTAAATGAGAGAAGTAAGGCCATCTTGGCATATGTGTTCATCACTAACTATATAATTTAAGTTGTTTTCAGTGACTAATTTAAATAATGGTATGAAGATTTGGTCATTAAAAATTTAAAAATAGGGGTCAATCATTTTAGTGACCATGTAGTATTATTAGTCATTAAATTCACTGTATTTGTAACCATTATTTATGTGGTCACAAGGAAATTGGTCACTACTGACCTTTTTTTTTGTAGTGTAGAATACCCACACTACTACAAAAAGTGATAAAGACGACCAGAAAAAAACGACGGTCTAAGTGAAAACCGTCGTTGTTTTTTAAAAGACGACGGTTCTATAAAACCGCCGTGTAATAACACCTTAGACACCTGAAAAATGGAGATTCAAATGGCTATTC